AATACAGCGCATTAAAGAGTTGCACATCAACTAGGCTACCCTGTATACAATCTATAATTTTAATTTGCTACACATCATACCTCTTGCGTATTTTTTATTTATAGAAATTGAGGTGCGAAAATAATTAAATCAACTATCATTCATTGAAAAGTGCGAAATGAGAGAAATTAATTCAAAATTAAATTAAAAATATTAACAACTTCATTAGGTGATAATTATTTGTTTAAATTATAACATATTTATTATTCATCTTACACTTTATGTACATATGTAGGTACTTTATGTATATTGTGTACGCCCCAAAAGATTATGAATAACATATACATATGTATGTATGTATTTTGTTGTTGCTATTAAAAAAATTTCCATATTTTCATTATTAAGAATTTGAATATTTTTTACCATTAAACCATTTTTGTGGTTTACTACGAAATAAATTTGCAGATTAGTCATCGAAGTAATATTTTAAATTCATTACCGCCTATGAAGTAAACAACTTTGGAATGTCTTACAGAAATTTCTTCGTCTTCGAGAATAAATTTAAGAGTTTCAGTTTAGCAAAATCACTCAGAATTAAAATTTATGTAAACTTTAAAAATTTTAATTTTGCTTATATATATAACTTACTTAAGAGATAAAAAGCTAAATAAGAAAAACAAACAAACAAATCGCAATGTTGCGTTTTGTCGTTGCGTTGTTGCGCTGTTGCGTTGTTACGTTGCTGCGTTGCTGCTCCGTTGAGCTGTCTCGAGCAATTTCAGTGCTCTTTTAATTTGTTTATTTATTAAAATATCGTTTTGTTTGAAGAAACAAAATTTGAACACATAAACGGGATTGAAATAAATAAGAGCGCCGCGAATGTGCTTAGCGTGCTAAATGGGTTTGTGGTTGGCCAGAATAATAATCTGCGCAGGTACGAAAAAACGTCCATGGCTGTAAGTAAGTAAGCAAGCAGAATAGCAGAAATCCATAAATTTAAAACGTTTAATTTAATTGACTTCACAAAATTGTAAATAAAATAACTAACATTAATGAATACAAATTTTGAGTTTTTCTAACCCTAACCCTAAAACTGCTCTCTTCACTCCTCTGTAGAAGAGTAGATTGGATCATTCACTGATTTGTTTTTTGAATGCATTTGTCTTCTACTTGTAATAGACAAATGTTTAAAAGAAGCAAAAATTTCAATTGCCGAAATCTAAATAAATTGGCTTGACATGGCGACGCTAACCCATTAACCGCCAAATAAAATTTCAACATGTCAAAAAGGCAAACTAACATAAATTCTTGCGTAATTTATTGTAAGTCCAAAGAGTTCAAACTTGTGGTTGGTAAACATCTGCGGTCATCAGTAGACCATTCAGAAGTAGACTACAGTGTCTCTATATACATATTTAGGAAAATATTATATTAATATGCTAAATGTAGAAACATAATCTACATAGTCTTGAGATTAACGAAGAAATAAAAATTGTTCTTATAAGAAAACTTATATTAAATGTAGAATATTGGAAATAAGCTCTTGGAAAATTAAAGAATGTCATTTCTAGAGGAATGATTTTTATGTTATTTGCAAAATATAGCAAAATACAGCAGTTCAGAAAAAAAAATCCCCCATACCATCTATGAAAATTTTACAGTACATATAAACTGCATCAGTAATTGCATGCATATAAAATGTGCAAAAAAACTCTGCGGAGAGTAACTCTTAGTGGTTCTCACATAATTGTCTTGAGGTTTTCCATTTCAAAAGTTCAATCAGTTCAACTTTCACGGTTGCCACTAAGGCTACTTTGATTGTTATACGAGTTTACATGCAAATCAATTAACCGCTCAGGGATATTGTTATTATGCGTGGATCAGAAACCCATCGATTCTTTTCGCACAAGCACTCATATTTTTATTTTTGGGTTATTTTCTGCAGGGCAGAATACCTAAAAATTAATTGAAAATAAATTCCAGCCAATGCTGAAAACACCACTCCATTAATCCAGTAATCAGAGGTTAAGTAAATTGAGCGCCTTAAAATTTAATTATTAAATTCCCTCAATTCGAACAATATGCTTACTTACTTACTTAGTTGGCCATTACAGACGTGTGTCGTCCTTGGCCGCGTCGAGTAGCCTCCGCCAGTCAGCCCGATTAGTTGGCTTTCTGACGCCAGTTGCTAGTACCGAGCGCCCCCAAATCGTTGGTCACCTGGTCCTTCCACCGAAGATGCGGATGTCCTCTACCGCGTTTTCCACCTGCGGGTACCGAATCAAATACCTTTCTAGCCGGAGCACTTTCTTCCATTCGCACGGCATGACCAAGCCAGCGTAGCCGCTGAATTTTTATGCGCTTAACTATGTCAATGTCGCGGTATAGCTCATACAGCTCATCGTTCCATCTAATTCGATACTCGTCGCCAACGCGTAAGGGACCATAGATCTTCCGAAAAACAATATGCAGTTGCTTTTAAATTAGTGACAGACTACTAATAAAAAGTGTAGGAGTACTCGTTTAATCCGGCCTGCGAAGTCTTCACGTTGCTTGCGGCATAAGCTCCTTTATCAATCCATAGAAATAGTCAATTTTTGTTTGTTTCGTGTTTTTTTTTTTGTTTTTGTTTGCAAAACAATACTTGAACTGGGAATGAATGAAATACTTATTCCAACCTATGCAGAGAACCCCAATCTAATAATCAGAGGTTAACATAATTGAACAGATTAAAATGAACATAAGTAATTCCTTCTTCACTAGGAGTGTGTACTCAATTGCTTTTAGGGATTACACGCTTCATGTTGAGTCTTTTTCAAGTTAGTGCATCTGGGCACTTTTACTGCTTGATAGCTGGGGGGCTTCTACAGAATCCCACCCTTCTTAATGACTAACTTAAGTATTGCTCAAAAGCTTCGTGATTATTCGATAATTCATCTAAGATCTGCGCACCGCCCCGTGCGGTTAGAGATTATTCTGAGATTAGATAGTGCCAAGTAGGGCAGCCAACTCCTGATAATGCTTCATAGAGAATTGTCTCGTGCAGTTCAATAAGGAGTTGTTTAGTTTGAAGAAAATATGAAGACAGGTTATAGGTCCGTATGAGTTACCTCTGTGTGAATGACAGAAAATGCTTATCTACTTCTAGTAACATTAGTTGATGCATAGATAACAGAGCTAGGGTAGTGATAGACATTAGCGCAACTTAAATAGTTTATACCATCATAAGGAACCTTTTCTTCAAATTTTTTATTTATTAATTTTTATATCTTACTTCAAATTAACATAATTTGAAAAGACATAAAGATAATTATTAAGTAATTATTCCATTTTGAATAGAAAAGTAGGATTATAATGAAAAAACTTTCAAATGCGAACATTTAATTTTTAATTATATGAATTCTTAGAGTAGCCATGTAGTTTTAAATACTGCCAAATATATAATACATAACCACTGAACAAAAACTCATTCTTTATATTATTTTAATTAATTGAATTTTTGGCTGACCATACACCTGCTTCGAGAGTTGTCAAATATTCATCAGCAGTGGTTTTGAAATTATATCTTATATTTAATTGATCAATTATTCATAAATAATATTTTTTTTTTCAGAATGCTAGTGCCAAGCGATAAACTCGTGCCCTGCCAAATTTGAAGCTTAAAGTCAGTGTTTATTAGAAAACTAACACATAGCCAAACTTGACTTCTACTTTTAAGAAAAGTAAAGTTATAAAAAATCAAAGTAAAAAATATTAAACAATTTGAACCTAATTCTTCTAAAATAAAAAATAAAACCCAAATTGAAGAAATATAAATAAAACCCAAATATAATCTAAAAAAGTACAGAAAAATGACATTTTTTAGAAAAGTTTTCGCTTGAAATATTAGTTTCAGTTTCAAAATTGCATTTCTTGGATATTATTGTTATATGTTGATTCATCAAAATATGTATTGTTATGTATTTCTAAGTTTATCCAAATTCTGTCATTAATTTTCTTTTCAAATAAGTAACTTTTACTAATAATCTGTTTTGAATCATAAGTTTATGATTCATTTGGGTCATACTTAATGTCCGAAATTTTAATGAACAATGTTGTTCTTCCTGCAAAAATATAATTTAAACTTGTAAAGTATGTTATAAATATATTATTTATTATTACTAGATAAAACATACATAAAGAAGCACATAAACTATTTCAAATATATTTTAAAACAAAAACTTATTTTTTTTTGTTTTCATATTATTTATAACAATTAATTGAAATAAATTTATTTCTGTTGAATATAAAAAAGTTTGAACAAATTAAAATAATTATTTTTCTAGTCTATGAAATATTCATACCTGCCAAAATAAAATATCCATACCACCAAAGAGTTGAAGAGTTGAAGACTTGAAGAGTTGGTCATCCATCCATTCATTTCTTAATTCACAAATACTAAAATAAATTTAATTACTTGAACTAATTTGAAAACTGAAATGGGCTGAATTTCATTAGGTGAACTAGGCTAAGTTCATCTAAGTGTATTGTGTAATCTGAAGGTAATTCAAAAACAATTTCATTTCTCTTTATCGCTCTCCGCTCTCTTAATTTTGCGGTTCAGCATCTACTTTGCGTATGGGTTCTGTGTTCTGTGTTTTGTGTTCTGCGTTCTCTTCGCTGTGAAATTTGTGACTTGATTTTTGCAAGCAAACCAAATAAACAATTGACATCAAATAAACGCTCTGTTAAAAGTAACATTCAACTAAACCGCGGATGTTTTCGTGTTCTGAATTCAGTTAATAACAAGACACGGTCGAACGATAGTCGAGGAGATTTTGGCGAGTAGTAAAAAAGTTGATTTTCGAAAACAAAAGATCGTTCAGTTGAAATATCTGGTCTCGAACAATAAATAACTCCATTTAATTGTTAAAGTACGATTTTTTTAAAGTACGCAAGTTTATTAGATTCAAAATTACTTACAGTATGTATTTCATATGCAAAATTAACTTATTCATTTTTTTTAATAAAAAATAAATTTTATTAAATGAAAAATTCAAGACAAGTGACTAGAAATGTCCGATGCACCTTAAATTAATTGTAATTTTTTTTAATTTTTTTTATTTTTTTTTAAAAGAAGCAACAAGATTTCTAATAATGACTAAAATCATCGACGAAATCGATGAAAAAAACTAACTTCTAGTTTGTGATGTTCTGTTTTTAAGTTTCAAATGATTCAAACATTATTTTTAAATTTAACGTTATTTTCGTTTTTGTTTTTTTTGTTTTTTTTGAAACACCTCAAGTTTAAATACAAAAATTATTGTTTTTCAAATGTTTGTGTGGATTAAAAAGGTTTTCACTTATAAATTTGGTAGCGACAAACTAGTTAAGTTCTGATACAAAACAAGTTTGCGTGTATTTTATTAAATAAATTAATTTAAATTAATATGTTTTTTTATTAATAATACGCGGAATTGAATTCAGAAATTAATTTTTAACTTTACACTTTTCACTTTAATAAGTAAAAATATTAAATCTAATGGATAGACGCGGCGCGGCATTCAAGCTGGATAAATTTTTAACAATATTAAAAACATTTTTTTTAAATTCTTTTAAGTACGTAAAAATTTTTCACGAGTTTTTTTTCTCGGTTTTACTTTCGATTTATACCAGGGGAACTGATTTGATTCAAAAAAAATAAATATGGACTTAGCATAATTAATGCTGCTTCTAGTGATTTTTGCTTACCAAGCTCGTATCAAATTTTTTGTGAATTGTGAATTATAAAATTGAAAATATTTACCACAACTGGCCTTTTTCTCTAATTCCTTTCTTATTGTTTTTTCTTTTTTTTTTTTTTTTTGTATTTTATTAATAATGTGATTACTATTAAATAAACAGTTTATTTTCTAAGTTTACTGGCAAATCTTAAAAAATCACCAAATCTGATAAATAATCACATTAAGTACAGTGTTTAAGCATAATTTGATATTTTTTTAATTTTATAGTTTTTGTGATTAATATTCAGAAGATAATGTAAAGGGTAGCTTTACAAAATACTCAGTAAACAATATTATTGCAATGGATTAAAAGTTATATTAATTTCAAAGCAAGTATCCATTATTTATTCGTATTGATATATGATTAATAATCAGATTTGATGTCTTAATTTTAAGACAACAGATTACGAAAGTCCTTTATAAGATTATTTTCATGTTTCGTAGTAATTGACTTCTTTGGTATTTTTTCGGTATTAAACAAAACCATTTTCTAAAGAGATACTCAGACAGAATATAATGCTCTATACATAGCCTTAACTTACTAAACAATTTTTTTTAATTTAAGAAATTTGCAAGATTTTGAGATTACAAAACTTAAGTTGTTAAAACTTATTTTCAGTCTCATTGTAAAAGAAGATACAATAAATAATTGTATAAGTATTTAAAAACCAAAAATAACAAGAATTTTGTAACAAAATGTACTTATTATGACCGTGTGCGAGTTTGAGTAAATTGATGGTAAATTACGGGAAATAGTAAATTATGTCGGTATGGAAACAGCGATGTTTCGAGTAGGGTAAATTAGATAAAATTTATGTAAATTAGGTGTTATTAAATTAGGTATTGTAAATTTTTATAAGATGTTTAACAAATAAATAAATAAATAAATAAATTTGAAAACTTCTAACCAAAAATAAATAAATAAATATTTACATAAGTGCAGTGCAAAAAATTCCTACTACTAGTCTTGTAGTAGTACTCATAGTAATTTATATAAGTACACCATATCAAATTTTTACTCTACCGGTAATAGTACGCAAAATGATATATGAAAAAAGTACATAAACTCATTTATTTATAATAAATGTTTATAGTTAAATACAAATATCTATTAAATGATGAGTTAAGTTAATTAATTTAATTTATTTATGAAATACATTTATACTGCGATTTCTTAGAATTCCAATTGAGTGCATCTTTTAGAAAAACAATTAAGAATATTTTATTTCAAATACTACAAAAAATTGTTATTCTACTTATAAAGATTGTCAATATATTCTTAAATTCAAAAGTATATATTAATACTTTCTTGTGACCGTGAATCTCACTACATATATTTTGCTTAAATCCATAAGAATCTTGTTTTTTAAAACTAAGATTTTCTTTTAAATTAAGTTAACTAGGACTAAAAGTAGGTGTTAAAAACAAATTGAAAATTTTACTAATGCCACCTATTTAAACCACTTTTTTAAGTACATTATTAGGCTATCAAGATATACACTATTATTAGGTATTATTATTAAAAATATTGTCGTGAAATCGTCCAACAGCCGGTACTGCGGCCAAGAGAAGATACACACTATAGTAGAAATAATTTTGTGTGTAATGAACTTATCAATATTCATCGAGAGATAGTTGCCAATGCATCATTTTTTATTGCGCCATAATTTATTACGACTATTATAAGATATTATTTAATTTGTGTAATTGCTTAGTAAGCATAAATACAATCAAACCAGTATATAATTTTATATTAGCCTTACATAATGTGGGACACAGTCGTTTAAGTCACTTTTGCTACCTTATTTTTTTTTTGTGTAAAGGGCTGCATATCCTGATTATAGAGTGCTAAGGGTCTATTAATATAATTTCTGCTTTTTATTTCATTAATCGTTTCCATTTGTTTATCACAATTCAGATCATCATTTTTAATGTACTATTATAGACGTTGATAATAGTACGGAGTATATTTGAATAGAGGCGTTATATTATTTGCTTGTTTGGTTTGGAAACAGTTCCCTATATTTCAATACTGAATATGGGTCTTTTAGTAACCGAAAGAGTTTTCCAAAAACATTTGAGTTTGCTCTCGTTATGTGGTTTTTCCATAACAGTTTTGAATCTATGGTTATGCTCAGGTACCTTTCATGAGGTTCAATTTTCATTATTCTAATCTTAGCTTTTAGATTGCTTGGTTGTTATTTTCTATTAGTGTTAACAGCATGAATTGTTTTGTCTGCATTGACTTCTATATCTCGGATGTTCGAAAATTATCTAAATAATATTTTAGACATAGGTTGTGAAAACAAATACAGATGTGCAAGTGATAGTACAGGCTGCCTTAGTTGTGACTCTAAGCTTTACAAAAACGAAAATTTGTCCCACGTAGGATTGTAATTTTTACGTAGGAAGAGCATCTCTCTTGAATATTCGCAAACGTATCTGATTTAGTAATATGTATTAAAATTATTATAAATATATAAGGAAGTGCACATTTGAAAGATGAAAAGATGTAAGAACGATATATTCATTTGTATTACAATTATTTTGTTATACTTAAAGAAAAGTCTCCATTTACGGAAAGATCAAAAATAGTCAACATTGTCCCATAATCCTACAATTATCGACGTATGCAAATTTTATTATAATATTATGATATTGAATATGAATAGTAATATTCGTACAACTACTAGTAGTTTATAATATTAAACTACTTCAACACTTTCTTCTTAAACAATTTGAAGAACTTTTCTGTTTAATATTAAAATAAAAATTTTAGAAGTGGAATTAGAGAAATTCTGTGATGAGTTTTCGACTGAACATTATTAACTAATGTGCTAATGTGGATCAGTACATGCTTATATCGGGTCCTAAAATGAATGTTACCTTTTTTATTTCTCTTTATTTAAATGGACATTTTTAAATCCATTAAATATAAAAAGAACACGTTATTAATATTAATTGAATTATTTTAGATTGATTGATCACTTAAATAGAACTATTACAATTTTTACTTACTGTGTAGGCTATTGCAATCGTATGCAGTTCTACACCACTTTAATTGTTCTCCGCAACTCTTCATTGGATTTCACGCACACATGGTAGAGCTTAATGTACCAGATAGCCCACATTTGATTTTTTGTAGTACAGTAGGTTTGCATTTACTTCTTGAAGACATGATCTTGACAACATCGAAGAATTTTATTTTACATTACATTATATAATTTAAAAATTTTTTTAATATATTAATTTAATTGAACTTATTTCTCAACATTATCTTTTTTGATATCTGCTCTTACTTTTTGTTTTTTGACTCGATTTTCTGTTCGCCTAATAAACTGCTATAGTGTAAGCACTTAATTTTAATTGTCCAATTATCGCTGATTAATGTGGATTAATATGGATTAATAGTAAATCAGATATACTTGTATAAATATTAACTAACAAACATTTTTGAAAATCTCTACTAATTTTTCTTAGTCAAAATATTCGTCCACTAAAATTCTTCCACAACGAATATCAATTTGTTTCAAGTTTAAGTTATGCTTTGATTCCGAATGAGCTGCTCAGAAAGGAAGTAATTCATCTCTTTAATCAAATATTCACATACTCATTTTAAAAGCAATATAATTGTGCATTTACATTGTGCTGTACATTATCTTGCCTTACTTCGTCATTGAAAGATTTGTTTCACTTCAGATATATCCAGAAAAGTCTTAATTTTTTTAAAATCTATTTTTGATGACTCTGTTTAGTGGATCAATTTTTTCTTCTCCAAGGATGTATAAAATAGATTCTGTGTCTTCCATACCTATCCTGCATTCATCGGTTTCTAATACTTTTAACACCAGTTTATGCTTGCTTAAAGACAGTGACCAATTATCACTTCAATCTTTATTTTTAGATCCTATCTAGTCATATTTAGTATGTGCTCGTATTTGTTTTTCTTTTTAGATTAAGAATAACTTAGTGTAGTGTAATACACTCTCTTTAACAATCAAACCATTTATGGTTTCGTTTACTAGTGAATTTCAGTTTAGCTGGACTTTTGAAGTGATATTTGCTGATATTTAAAATTGGCTTCGACTCATATGGACCCATTTCATTGTCATCAATATCGATGTGTGCAAGTATCTAGTATTAAATCAGTTGATTCCTAGCAATAAGGTTTTGTAAGACATTGACTATCTTCTCAACCATT